CTGCGTGCCTCTTTAGCACGCTTAGCCCCTCCTTCATCCTGCCCAGTTCACCTTTTGCAGCCCTGCTCAGAAGTGCTCTCTTCCGTGAAACCTTCCCTGATATACACTAGCTAGAAATGATTTTCTTTCCTTCTGGTGAGAGAAAGCATCTTATTTCCACCTTCCTATGGCATGTAATAATACATTGTCTTGAATTACAGCTATTTGGGTGTTTGTGTATTCTTCCTGTCTCCCTCATTAGAATATCATCTTCTCATGGACAGTATCCTGTTTTCCTTTATATCCTCCACAATTGGGCTAAATAAACAACTTTGGAATTAGTCGGAGAGGTCACTTTGTTAGGAGGTTGGGATTTCCTTTGCCCCGACATCTACCCGCTAAAAGAAGTCAGAGTTTTATAATCCTAGAAAATCCAAAAGGAGTAGGGGCTCTTAGGGAAGAAACATTACCTTTCATGTTCCTTTGTCTTGTCTCAGACGTACGTTGTTCAGGGATGTGTCATGGATTGCCTTCCACCCAGTCAGCCTGTGTTCTGCCATTGTGCATGAATAATTTGCTTGGGTGTATTGGTGCCTGATTTTTCTGACTCATTCATTCTCCTCCTTGGGCAATAAAATGATGCCCTGATGGCCTGGACATCTCTGCTTTTGCTGTGAGATTTTTGTGTGGTTCCTATGAAACGACTGCTTCTTCCACCTCCCTTTCAGCCAGCAGCTGCCACAGGGAACTCTGTGGCTCGCACAGCAGCAGTCGAAAGATGCTCTCACTGCCCACTTCCTGTAGACAAGGAGGTTTTGGTGGGCTGCTCAGGAACTGTGCCAGCTCTGTGTCTGACTGGTGACTGACTCATGAGAAAAGCAGCCTCATGTCTGAAAGATAAGAGCCAACAAATCGCCTCCAGGTGGTGTTAGTTTGGAGGTGACTGACCATTCATTTCCTCTCTCTGGGAGGAGCCGGTGGGGACGGAATCAGTGAATAAGTGGTCTTGCCTGCATTTTTCTCCAGCTATTGATGAAGCAGCTGAGCAAATGGTTGGTTCTCTCTGCTGGAGTGGCGAGTGGACCCCAGTGCCTTCTGAATGCCTTCTGCGGCTGTCAGGGTAGCAGACTTATGTGTCATCCATCCTGTGTCTTCCCTTCATTACTCTTCTCATTCTCTTGCTAGGAAGTTGGCTGTGTGCACCAGGCGAACTCTGCTTGTTCCATTGCTGCCAGGTTTTTCTGTGACCCGGCAAACCTCATCCCTACTGATTTGGTTTCCTCCAGATCTCTCCGTGACCCAGGAATTGATCAGAAGCAATGGTTCTGAACCACTGTCCCTTGGCTGGGCTCGGTGGGTCGGGGCAGGTGGGCCTGCCTCTCCTGCCGTCCTCTTCCCTCTCCCCCCTCCTGCCTCTCTCCCATTTCCTGCAGGAGGACGCTCTGCCATCCTGGAGCCGTCAAGCACAGCTTTGCTTTGGCAGCACCGTCGCACACACACTGGTGGGAGAGGGGACGTGTTTATCACTTTTCCTGGAGATTATCTGTTTAAGCACTTCTCTGACAGTTACAATAACAAGGGCAGTGTGCTGTGTTTCCCAGCAGAAGGACACTTGCTGTTGAAAGATGTATAGCACTAATTAGAAATACATAACATCCGGCCACATGGCAGCCTTCTCCCGGCCGCTCCATTTCCTGATTTCATACAACTTTGACGACAGTTGGTTTATGTTTTCCATGAATATGTTCTCAGAAAAATGAGAAGGTCTCCCTGTTACATAGGAGCGGGAAGAGTGTTTCTGCTTGAGCAGGTATTTGGCCAGAGGAATAGTGGGAGATGTGGTCACCTGCCCATCTGAGAGCATGTGGGAAGGGGCAGAACCAAGTTCAGACTTCAGGTGACTTTCTTGGTAAGAAATATTTCCATCTGACTTCTTTAGCCAGAACGATCCCCCTACACCCTTGAGCAAGTCTGCTTTTGGAAAGAAGGGAAAAGGCTGTTTCACAATGTTAATGAGTTCCTCAGTTCATGTCAGGCTCCAGCTACCTGACACAAAGCCAGAGGAACCCAGGCAAATACCAAGGCGAACAATGCTTTTTCCTTCCCCACCCCACATCACGTGTTGGCCTGGCCCAGCCCGCTCTAGGGATATATACGGGCATCTGTAAGACCGAGACCAGTTTCCTAGGCCTAACCCTAGAGTGGGCGGACCTGGGACTCTGGATGCTGTTTTACTACCCACTTGCATAAGCATGGGTACGTCTCAAGGACTAGCATCTTACAGCTTTTAGTCCACAGAAGCCTAAGTGAAGCACAGAGCATCTCCTGAAGATACCATAGCACTTAATACATTTCTCCCTGGAGGCACTGGGTCTGAGTTGCCATGGTTACTGGGGGGTAAATAAACCGTTTGCATGGTCCTAAGATTGCAGGGATCCTGTTTTATTTGTAGCTTTGTTCTTCAGCACAGGGTCAAGGACACTGTAGATGCTCAGTGCCTGTGGTACCACTGAGCCTTGGAGGAGGGCAGGCCTTCCAGAAAGTGCTCTGTATGAAGAGCTGACGGAGACCCAGGCATTCTGACCCCCAGATAGCTGTGATATCACCACCTGCTTGATCAGAGCAGAACAGCTTACTGATTTGTACCTCCCCATCAGTCAGACCAGAACACAGCAGGGAGTGCTGTCAGGCCCTTCCTGGGGAGATGGAGGGGTGGGGGTGGGTGGGTGAAGGGTTGAGGTGACATAACCATGGCCAAGAGCAGAGCAGTCATGAAGCTACCTTTTAGCTGCTGCCCTGAGAGGTAGTTGAGCCCTTCCAGACACAGCAGAGAGGCTCCAGTTGTCGCTTCCCCACCTGGTCCCCAGACCGTATTGCAAGAAGCTTTAAAAAGGAGCCAGCCTGGACTCCCCAGAGGCCTCAGTGTCATTGTTCTTAAGCAGTTAGTTCTACCCCTTGAGCCCTAGCCCTGTGCACTCTGAGAAGGAATCTAACCTGAGGGTGATGTTCATCATACAAATAGAAATGGTCTTGGTGGAAGTAATCTCCCTTTGCCCCATCTTATCCTTATCGAGGCTGATGAGAGTGTCTTCTTGTAGTCTTGGGCTTCTGCCAGTCCTTGGAGCTAAGATACCCCCCTCCATCCCTTCTGAGGGCCTTCTATGTGCAGGTAACTTCTGCCTAAGATGCCCACTGGATGAGGAGACACTAATGTGTACTCAGTGTGTCAACTACCAGGATGTGGCCTCTACTCCTCCTCTCCTAGTTCCCTCTGTTATGGACTTATTCTCCCATTCTGGGATTTGTTGTTAATTAGAGGCAGGCTGCTGGCCATGCTTGGCAGGGGCCTGGGCTGAGCTGGGGTGGTACAGGCAGTCCTGTTGCCTATTTACTATAGGTGGAGGGTGGAGGAGAGAAGTTGGCAACTTTTCCTTGGGATGGCTTACACATCTTCCCCTTCCCTACTTTCCATCCTCCCTCCGCTTTGTTCTTAGATGCTTGTTTTTTGTCTCTTTAGCACAGGTTTAGGGCCTTACCAGAAGAAGAATGAGACTGGTGATCTATTCTAATCACATGGATTGTTACCACTTCCTTACTGCCTGCCACAGTTTAACTGGAAAGTTAGAGGGTGACATTTGGGACCATTGGGCATCTGGAAGGATGGTAGGAAAGCCACTATAGATGAGTTGCTACACTGATGCTATTCATATGTTGGGACCTTCTGAACAGCAGCCTGTTCCTTCTCACCCCCAGGGCTTTCTGAAGTGGTTTGGGGCTGGCTTTGCATACTCCAGTCATGTTTGCTCCTGTGGCCAAGATGGTTAGGAATAACTGTGGTTGTGTAGCATCTCCTGGAGTAAAGACTTCAATTAGGCCCCACTGGAAAGATGAGTATCAATGAGGGGAGAGGCAGGAGGGCTCCCCCTTGGCTACTGAGGTTAAAATGCAAGCAGGGACAGAGATCAAACATGTGGCTAATTATCCTTTTAACACCTGGAGATTCTGGGAGTTCTCCTGTATTCAGACAGAAGGAATTAACAGATCAGCTGCTGCCAAAGCAAGCGAGCCTGGCCCCTGATTCCGTCTCCTGTGCGTATAGGGTGTCTCCTGCGCTGAGGCTGCAGGCTGGACTGCTGCCTTCTGTTTGTCGCCTGTTTCTCTCAAGTCTGGATGATGTGCCTATCAGGGAGGGCCACGGACAAGTGGCAGGTACAGGCAGTGGTTTGAAGGTGTGTATGTAGCTCCCGCTAAAGAATAGCCCTGGCCACCACCAAGGTGGCTCCTTTCCCTGACCTGCAGCCAGAGGGAAGTTGGGCAGGCTGAGAAAGTGAGGGGGATAGGGTGCTAGTATTGGAAACCAGATTTATTTCTTAGCCTTAGGGGAGAGAACTTGTGAAAATTAAAGCTAACACCGATTAAGTGCTTATTATGTATGTGTCATGCACTGTCCTATATAAAGTTAACTCATGCAGTGAAAATAGGTTATTTGTTTCATGTGTGTTCTCTGAGGAGGAGGAACAGAGAGAAGGTAAGGATGGAACCGAAGGTTGGTGATTCAAGATGATTACTTTTAAATGTGTATTTTTTTATCTTAATTGGTGATTGTATTCCCGCTATGTATACATTAGAGAGACTGAGTTAATTAAATACGACTTCTTGTTGCTGTTGCTTCACATCCTCAGCAGGCAACCAAAGGCAGAGAGCATGCAGGTGTGGCTCAGGCTGCTCACCTTGGGGTAACTGATCCTGGGGAAGTGATGTGTTACAGAATTTACACAAGTGAGCCTTATAATAACCTTATTGAGTGCTTACCCACAGGCCGGTCATCGTGGTAAGTGCTTCACATGCATTACTTTATTTAGCCTTTCGACTACCCTTTGAGAGAGGGAATATTACAACACCAGTCTTAGATGAAGGGCAAGGAGCTCGGTGATACAAGCAAGGACTTGCACCTAGTAAGGTAGGGAAGAGGAGCCCTTAGCCCCCAGGATACTGATGGATTTCCCTTTGCTCCTGCTCAGACTGCTTCTCGGAGGAGTGTCGCTCTGTGATCCAGGAGCAAGCCGCAGCCCTGGGCCTGGCCATGTTTTCTCTCCTGGTGCAGCGCTGCACCGACTTACTGAAGGAATCAGCCAAAGGTAAGCAGATGAGGGGCCCTGACTGGTGGACGTCCCAGCTCCTGGGTCCTGCCCAGACAAGCTCAGAATGCCACGCTGCTTTCTCTGCGTCTTCTCCCTCTACTCCAGGCTTCCTTTTGCCCACCTAACTAGTCCCATTTCCTCTATGGCCCTCTTTCCTTCTTGTAGAAAGGAGAGGAGGCCTCTTTCCTCCTCTCTCTCTTTTCACCTTTAATAGTTAGGATTTTCAACGTACCTCTGAACTACTGCGTGTTCCTGCAACTTTAAAACAAAAAGAAAGAAAGAAAAATGAGTTTCCCTTGGTGTTCATAATCCATGTTTTGGTTTCCCCCTCTATCTGTATGTCCCTGTTTGTCAGGTTCCTGGTGGGGGCTATAACCACTGTGGACCAGCCATCCCGGTAGACTCACTGGACCAGAGCAGGGGTTCTTTTTAGCCCTTTGAGTAGTGTCCCCTTATCCATTAAGGCTGCCCTTAGAATTCCAAGCCTGATTGCTGAGCCGTGTAAGGTAGGTCTGAAGGGTGTACCTTTCTTTCAGCTTCTGGATTAGTTTTGATGAGTGGTGAGGCCCGTCTGTTGTTCCCCTGCCACATCAGCTTTTTTTTTTTTAATTTTTAAATTTAATTAATTTTTTATACAGCAGGTTCTTATTAGTTATCCATTTTATACACATCAGTGTATACATGTCAATCCCAATCTCCCAATTCATCCCACCACCACCACCACCCCCCACCTCCACTTTCCCCCCCTTGGTGTCCATACGTTTGTTCTCTACATCTGTGTGTCTATTTCTGCCCTGCAAACTGGTTCATCTGTACCATTTTTCCAGGTTCCACATATATGCGTTAATACACGATATTTGTTTTTCTCTTTCTGACTTACTTCACTCTGTATGACACTGTATGACATCCATCCAGGTCTCTACAAATGACCCAATTTCGTTCCTTTTTATGGCTCAGTAATATTCCATTGTATATATGTACCACATCTTCTTTATCCATTCATCTGTCGATGGGCATTTAGGTTGCTTCCATGTCCTGGCTATTGTAAATAGTGCTGCAATGAACATTGGGGTGCATGTGTCTTTTTTTTAATATATATAAATTATTTATTTTATTTTTGGCTTTTGGCTTTTGGCTGTGTTGGATCTTCGTTGCTGTGTGCAGGCTTTCTCTACTTGTGGTGAGCGGGGGCTACTCTTCGTTGTGGTGCGCCGACTCCTCATTGTTGTGGCTTCTCTTGTTGCGGAGCACAGGCTCTAGGCGCGCAGGCTTCAGTAGCTGTGGCACGTGGACTCAGTAGTTGTGGCTTGCAGGCTCTAGAGCTCAGGCTCAGTAGTTGTGGCGCACAGGCATAGTTGCTCCGCAGCATGTGGGATCTTCCTGGGCCAGGGCTCAAACCCGCGTCCCTTGCATTGACAGGTAGATTCTTAACCACTGCGCCACCAGGGAAGCCCGCGTGTGTCTTTTTGAATTATGGTTTTCTCTGGGAATATGCCCAGTAGTGGGATTGCTGGGTCATATGGTAATTCTATTTTTAGGTGTTTTTTTGTTTTTGTTTTTTTCGCGGTATGCGGGCCTCTCACCGCTGTGGTCTCTCCCGTTGCGGAGCACAGGCTCCAGACGGGCAGGCTCAGCAGCCATGGCTCACGGGCCCAGCCGCTCCACGGCATGTGGAATCTTCCCGGACCGGGGCACGAACCTGCGTCCCCTGAATCGGCAGGCGGACTCTCAACCACTGCGCCACCAGGGAAGCCCTATTTTTAGTTTTTTAAGGAACCTCCATACTGTTCTCCGTAGTGGCTTTATCAATTTACATTCCCACCAGCAATGCAAGAGTTTTATAGTGTCCGGTTTTACATTTAGGTCTCTAATCCATTTTGAGTTTATTTTTGTGTATGGTGTTAGGGAGTGTTCTAATTTCATTCTTTTACATGTAGCTATCCTGTTTTCCCAGCACCACTTATTGAAGAAACTGTCTTTTCTCCACTGTATATCCTTGTCTCCTTTGTCATAGATTAGTTGACCATAGGTGCGTGGGTTTATCTCTGGGCTTTCTATCCTGTTCCATTGATCTATATTTCTGTTTTTGTGCCAGTACCATATTGTCTTGATTACTGTAGCTTTGTAGTATAGTCTGGAGTCAGGCAGTCTGATTCCTCCAGTTCCGTTTTTTTCCCTCAAGACTGCTTTGGCTTTTGGGGGTCTTTTGTGTCTCCATACAAATTTTAAGATTTCTTGTTCTATTTCTGTAAAAAATGCCACTGGTAGTGTGATAGGGATTGCATTGAATCTGTAGATTGCTTTGGGTAGTTTAGTCATTCCCACAATATTGATTCTTAAAATCCAAGAACATGTTATATCTCTCCATCTGTTTGTGTCATCTTTGATTTCTTTCATCAGTGTCTTATAGTTTTCTGAGTATAGGTCTTTTACCTCCTCAGGTAGGTGTATTCCTAGGTATTTTATTCTTTTTATTGCACTGGTGAATGGGATTGTTTCCTTAATTTCTCTTTCTGATCTTTCATTGTTGGTGTATAGGAATGCAAGAGATTTCTGTGCATTCATTTTGTACCCTGCAACATTACCAAATTCATTGATTAGCTCTAGTAGTTTTCTGGTGGCCTCTTTAGGATTTTCTATGTGTAGTATCATGTCATCTGCAAACAGTGACAGTTTCACTACTTCTTTTCCAATTTGGGTTCCTTTTATTTCTTTTTCCTCTCTGATTGCAGTGGCTAGGACTTCCAGAACTATGTTGAATAAGAGTGGTGAGAGTGGACATCCTTGTCTTGTTCCTGATCTTAGTGGAAATGCTTTCAGTTTTTCACCGTTGAGGATGATGTTTGCTGTGGGTTTGTCGTATATGGCCTTTATTACGTTGAGGTAGGTTCCCTCTGTGCCCACTTTCTGGAGAGTTTTTATCATAAATGGGTATTGAATTTTGTCAAAAGCTTTTTCTGCATCTATTGAGATGATCATATGGTTTTTATTCTTCAATTTGTTAATATGGTGTATCACACTGTTTGGTTTGCATATATTGAAGAATCCTTGCATCCCTGGGATAAATTCCACTTGATCATGGTGTATGATCCTTTTAATGTGTTGTTGGATTCTGTTTGCTAGTATTTTGTCGAGGATTTTTGCATCTGTATTCATCCGTGATATTGGTCTGTAATTTTCTATTTTTGTAGTATCTTTGTCTGGTTTTGGTATCAGGGTGATGGTGGCCTCGTAGAATGAGTTTGGGAGTGTTCCTTGCTCTGCAGTTTTTTGGAAGAGTGGAGAAAGATGGGTGTTAGCTCTTCTCTAAATGTTTGATGGAATTCACCTGTGAAGCCATCTAGTCCTGGACTTTTGTTTGTTGGAAGATTTTTAATCACAGTTTCAATTTCATTACTTGTGATTGGTCTGTTCATATTTTCTATTTCTTCCTTGTTCAGTCTTGGAACTTTATACCTTTCTAAGAATTTGTCCATTTCTTCCAGGTTGTCCATTTCACTGGCATAGTGTTGCTTGTAGTAGTCTCTTATAATGCTTTGTATTTCTGTGGTGTCTTGTAACTTCTCCTTTTTCATTTCTAATTTTATTGATTTGAGTCCTCTCCCTCTTTTTCTTGATGAGTGTAGCTGAAGGTTTATCAATTTTGTTTATCTTCTCAAAGTACCATCTTTTAGTTTTATTGATCTTTGCTATTGTTTTCTTTGTTTCTATTTCATTTATTTCTGCTCTGATCTTTATGATTTCTTGCCTTCTACTAACTTTGGGTTTTGTTTGTTCTTCTTTCTCCAGTTCCTTTAGATGTAAGGTGGGATGGTTTATTTGAGATTTTTCTTGCTTCTTGAGGTAGGCTTGTATTGGTATAAACTTCCCTCTTAGAACTGCTTTTGCTACATCCCACAGGTTTTTGGATTGTCGTGTTTTTGTTGTAATTTCTCTCTAGGTATTTTTTGATTTCCTCTTTGATTTCTTCAGTGATCTCTTGGTTATTTAGTAACGTATTGTTTAGCCTCACTGTGTTTGTGGTTTTTATGTTTTTTTTCCCTGTAATTGATTTTTAACCTGATAGCATTGTGGTCGGAAAAGATACTTGATATGATTTCAGTTTTCTTAAATTTACCGAGGCTTGATTTATGACCCAAGATGTGATCTGTCCTGGAGAATGTTCTGTGTGCACTTGAGAAGAAAGTGTAATCTGCTGTTTTTGGATGGAATGTCCTATAAATATCGATTAAATCTATCTAGTTTATTGTGTCATTTAAAACTTGTGTTCCCTTATTAATTTTCTGTCTAGATGATCTGTCCATTGGTGTAAGTGAGGTGTTAAAGTCCCCCACTATTATTGTGTTAGTGTTGATTTCCTCTTTTATAGCCGTTAGCAGCTGCCTTATGTATTGAGGTGCTCCTATGTTAGGTGCATATATTTTTATAATTGTTATATCTTCTTCTTGGATTGATCCCTTGATCATTATGTAGTGTCCTTCTTGTCTATTGTAACAGTCTTTATTTTAAAGTCTATTTTATCTGATATGACTCTTGCTACTTCAGCTTTCTTTTGATTTCCATTTGCATGGAATATCTTTTTCCATCCCCTCACTTTCAGTCTGTACGTGTCCCTAGGTCTGAAGTGGGTCTCTTGTAGACAGCATATATATGAGTCTTGTTTTTGTGTCCATTCAGCAAGCCTGTGTCTTTTGGTTGGAGCATTTAATCCATTCACGTTTGAGGTAATTATCAATTTGTATGTTCCTATTACCATTTTCTTAATTGTTTTGCATTTGTTTTTGTAGGTCCTTTCCTTCTCTTGTGTTTCCTGCTTAGAGAAGTTCCTTTAGCATTTGTTGTAGAGCTGGTTTGGTGGTGCTGAATTCTCTTAGCTTTTGCTTGTCTGTAAAGCTTTTGATTTCTCCATTGAATCTGAATGAGATCCTTGCCAGGTAGAGTAATCTTGGTTGTAGGTTCTTCCCTTTCATCGCTTTAAGTATATCATGCCACTCCTACTGGCTTGTAGAGTTTCTGCTGAGAAATCAGCTGTTAACCTTATGGGAGTTCCCTTGTGTGTTATTTGTCATTTTTCCCTTGTTGCTTTCAATAATTTTTCTTTGTCTTTATTTTTTGTCAATTTGATTACTATGTGTCTCGGCGTGTTTCTCCTTGGGTTTATCCTGCCTGGTACTCTGCGCTTCCTGGGCTTGGGTGGCTATTTCCTTTCCCATGTTAGCGAAGTTTTCGACTATAATCTCTTCACATATTTTCTTGGGTGCTTTCTCTCTCTCTTCTTCTTCTGGGACCCCTGTAATGTGAATGTTGTTGCATTTAATGTTGTCCCAGGGGTCTCTTATGCTGTCTTCATTTCTGCTCATTCTTTTTTCTTTATTCTGTTCTGCGGCAGTGAATTCCACCATTCTGTCTTCCAGGTCACTTATCCGTTCTTCTGCCTCAGTTATTCTGCTATTGATGCCTTCTGGTGTATTTTTCATTTCAGTTATTGTATTGTTCCTCTCTGTTTGTTTGTTCTTTAATTCTTCTAGGTGTTTGTTCTTTATTTCTTCTAGGTCTTCATTTCTTGCATCTTCTTGATCTTTGCCTCCATTCTTTTTCTGAGGTCCTGGATCATCTTCACTCTCATTATTCTGAATTCTATTTCTGGAAGGTTGCCTATCTCCACTTCATTTAGTTGCTTTTCTGGGCTTTTATCTTGTTCCTTCATCTGGTACATAGTCCTCTGCCTTTTCATTTTGTCTGTCTTTCTGTGAATGTGGTTTTCCTTCCACAGGCTGCAGAATTGTAGTTCTTCTTGCTTCTGCTGTCTGCCCTCTGTTGGATGAGGCTATCTAAGAGGCTTGTGCAAGCTTCCTGATGGGGGGGACGGGTGGTGGGTAGAGCTGGGTGTTGTTCTCCTGGGCAGAGCTCAGTAAAACTTTAATCCGCTTGTTTGCTGATGGGTGAGGCTGGGTTCCCTCCCTGTTGGTTGTTTGGCCTGAGGCTACCCAGCACTGGAGCCTACCGGGTCTTTGGTGGTGCTAATGGCGGACTCTGGGAGGGCTCAACCAAGGAGTACTTCCCAGAAGAACTTCTGCTGCCAGTGTCCTTGTCCCCACGGTGAGCCATCCCCTGCCTCTGCAGGAGATCCTCCAACACAGGCAGGTAGGTCTGGTTCAGTCTCCTCTGGGGTCACTGCTCCTTCCCCTGGGTCCTGATGCGCACACTACTTTGTGTGTGCCCTCCAAGAGTGGAGTCTCTGTTTCCCCCAGTCCTGTAGAAGTCCTGCAGTCAAATCCCGCTAGCCTTCAAAATCTCATTCTCTAGGAATTCCTCCTCCTGTTGCCAGATCCCCAGGTTGGGAAGCGTGACGTGGGACTCAGAACCTTCACTCCACTGGGTGGACTTCTGTAGTATAAGTGTTCTCCAGTTTGTGAGTCACCCACGCAGCAGTTATGGGATTTGATTTTATTGTGATTGCGCCCCTCCTACCGTCTCATTGTGGCTTCTCCTTTGTCTTTGGATGTGGGGTATCTTTTTGGTGAGTTCCAGTGTCTTCCTGTTGATGATTGTTCAGCATTAGTTGTGATTCCAGTGCTCTTGCAAGAGGGAGTGAGCGCATGTCCTCCTACTCTGCCGTCTTGAACCCCGCATCAGCTTTTGTGAATGCCTCTAGCCTCCGGGACTGCCTGTTTTTTGGAGGGACGGTAGGGGTAACTATTTGGAAACAATTTCAAATTTACAGAAGAGTTGCAAGAATAAAACTAACAACAGCTCTCTTACATACCCTTCACCCAGATTCCCTAATTGATAACATTTTACCATATTTGCTTTAAGTTCTCTCTCTTTCCACACACACACCTATACCTAATGGTTATTGTTACTTATTTTTAAAATTTATTTGTTTTATTTTATTTTTGGCTGTGTTGGATCTTTGTTGCTGTGCGTGGGCTTTCTCTAGTTGTGGCGAACGGGGGCTACTCTTGGTTGTGGTGCACGGGCTTCTTGTTGCAGAGCGCAGGCTCTAGGTGTGTGGGCTTTAGTAGTTGCAGCACACAGGCTCAGTAGTTGTGGCTCACGGGCTCTGGAGGGCCGGCTCAGTAGTTGTGGCACACGGGCTTAGTTGCTCCACAGCATGTGGGATCTTCCCGGAACAGGGCTCGAACCCGTGTCCCCTGCATTGGCAGGTGGAATCTTAACCACTGTGCCACCAGGGAAGTCCCTGTTATTTTTTTTTTTTATGAACCATTTGATTGTAAGTTACGGACATGGTAGCTTTTTCCCCCCAAATACTTGACTGTGTATTTCCTAGTCATGAGGACATTCTCTTATATCACAGGACTCTTATCACAATCAGGAAGCCAGCATTGATAGAGTACTATTATTGAATCTACAGGCCTTATTGAGTTTGTACCAGTTGTCCCAAAAAGAATTTGAAGAAAAAAGTTTCTTTCTGGTCTAGGATCCATTCCAGGATCACACTTTGCATTTAGATGTCATGTCTCTTTAGTCTCTTGCAATCTGGAATGGTTTTTCTGTCTTCCTTTGTCCTTCATGGTCTTAACATTTTTGAAGTGTACAGGAGATTTACTTTGTAGAATGCCCTAAAATCTGGGTTTCTCTGATACGTCCTCACCATCAAATTCAGGTCGTACAGTTTGGGCATGAACCCTGGTGCCATCTCAGCACTGTGCTGGAGGAAGGCTAAAAGTGGGTGGGGGCAGGGGCTGGAGGCCAGGGTAGCAGCTACAGCCAGGCCACAGGTGGAGCAGAGACAGCTGTCTGCAGGGCGGACCCGGTGCCCTGGTTCTCTCTTTGTCCTGCTTTTCAGAATCCTCTCAGTTGCTGCCACTTGTTCTTTGCTTCTGGGCCCAGCTCTCCTGTGGACTTGGTCTCTCTTCCCTAAGAGCTTGCTGCCGTCCCAGTGCCCCAGGCCTCACTCGGGGGCCGCAGCAGGCCTAGGCCCAGTTCTCACCCTTTGCCTCTGCAGCTCAGCTGTCCTCTCCTGAGGAGGAGGAGGATCAAGATGACATCAAGGTGTCTTCCTTCGTCCCCGACCTGAAGGAACTGCTCCCCAGTGTGAAAGTCTGGTCAGACTGGATGCTCGGCTATCCAGACACCTGGAATCCTCCGCCCACATCCCTGGATCTGCCCTCACAGTGAGTCAGCCTTGCCCACCCGTGTGCCCACAGCCCCCGTCCCGCAGCCCGCTTGTGTCTGTCTTCCCTCTTCATTTGAACTTGGGGTTTCCCCGTCCCCGACGCCCTCCTCGTCCTCTGACGTATTGGGTTGTTTTTGCCTGTTGCTCCTCCTCTCAGTCTTTCTCTCACACCATAGCTTGCTCTGTTTCGTTCCTTCCCCTTGATCTTGCTAACTTTTACTGTGCGTACTGTTCATACTCACCGTCTCGGCAGCTGCCTGCTGAGTCTGGGTGGGTGTCAGTCAGTGTGTGTGAGAGACTTTGTTTCTTTTTCTCCCTTTTTGTCTATCTCTGTGCATCTCTCAGGCTCTTGCTGCTTCTCGTGCTGTCCTGCGCACTCTGTCTCCTTGTCTTCCTCTCACGACGTTGTAGTATGTGGGGAATGGTGAGAGCATGCACCCCTCTCTCCCACTCACTTCGTCCCTGTCCCCGCAGTACATCCCGCCCCCTCTCCCTGTCTCTTTGTGTTGATGTGGGATGTGTTGATCTGGGGAATATGTGTGTCTGCTGGGTGTTTCTCTGTAGATCTTTTTGTGTGTCCATATGACATGTGGTAAAATATGTATATGTGGCAAAGTTTGCCATCTTAACCATTTTTAAGCATACAGTCAGTGGCATGGTACATTCACGTTGCTGTGCAGCCAGCTAGGGCTACTTCTTGTGTTTGTAGTGATGTGTGAGTTGTAGATCTGGGTGTGCCTGTTTGGGTCTGGTTGTCTATGTGTGTCTGGTTGTGTGTGTCTGAGTGTGAGGGTGTGTGTGTGTGTGTGTGTGTGTGTGTGTGTGTGTGTGTGTGTGCGTCCGTCCGTCCCTGGGGATTTGTCTATCGAAGGCTCTTTTGGTGTGCCTTTCCATGTGTGTCTATGTATGTGTGTCCATGTGCTGTGTCCATAACTGTGTCTGCGTCTCTGTCTATCCTTGTGTGTGGATCTCTTTACAGGGTTCCTGTGTCCCCGTGAGGAATCTGTTTCACAGACACAGTGTGTCTGTCTCCATGTCTGTGTGTTCATATATATGTCTATGTCTGATTCTTGGGCCATGTCAGACCATGTCTGCTTTGGTCCTGTCCATGTCTCTCTGCGTGTGGCTGTGTCCTGTGGGAGTGTTCGTATATGTTCCTGAATGTCTGTGCCCGGGACTGCCTGTGTCCTTGTCCATATTTGTCTGTGAGTATGTCTCTGTGTGTCAGTCTAGGTCTCTCTGTTGGGGGGCAGGGGATTTCTGTATATGTAGTTACAGGGGCTGCCTGTATCCACCTGCCTCGCCTGTGTCTCCCTGCCTGCCTCTGCCTGTCCCTCCTGCCTGTCTCAGCTTGTCTTGGCTTGTCCCTGCCTGCCTCTTTGCCTGACTCTGTTTGTCTCTCTCTGCTGTTTGTGTATCTGTTTCAGGGGTCAGCAAGCTATGGCCCATGAGCTCAGAATGGTTTACATTTTTAAATGGTTGAAAAAATAAAATAAAAAGAGTAAGACTTCATGACTTGTGAAAAGTATATGAAAGTCCCATTTCAGTGTCCATAAAATTGTATTGGAACACAGCCATGCTTGTTTGTTTACACTTTGTCTATGGCTGCTTTCACACTGCAGCAGTGGAGTTGAGTAGTTATGACAGAGACCGTATGGTCTGCAGAGCCAGAACTATTTACTCTCTATCCCATTATAGAAGAAGGTTGCCAGCTCCTCATCTATATCCATGTTCCTATGTGTCTTGTTCTTCTGTATGTTAGGGTCACTGTGTGTGTGTTTGTGTTTGCGTAAGAGTGTCCTAATGTGTGTGCACGTAGGTGCCTGTTTCTGGTCAACTCTGTTGACTGTCCGTCTCTCTCCCTCCCTCTCCCTTACTCTTTCTGTCTTCCTATCTGTCTCTCCCTTGGTGTTTCTGTCTCTCTTTCTCTCTGTTTAACTTTTCCTTCTCCCTTTCTCCCCTCCCTCCATTCCTCCCTCCCCCATCTGCTGTACTGTGGTCTCTGGCAGGTGTAGTGCACTCAGAGTTCCTTCAGGCTCTGTGTTGGGTGTATATATGTGTGTTTGGGAACAAGCATCCACACCCAGCATCTCATCATTCTTCTCCAGTGCTCTTCCCTGGGAGGGGGAAAATACTGGACGATGGAGGATGGATACCTAGGATGGTGCCAGTGGCATTTCTAGGGAGTGGGGAGGGGTGCTTCTCTGGGCTGGGGACCAGCCATGTGAGTCTCCCAGACTCATGGGTGACCCACAGAGGGAAGACTGCAGCAGAGATTCTGGCCAGCAGTTGGACCCTTCTGTGTGGACTATGTAGTCTGACTCTTTCCTACATTTCCTTCGTCCCATTTCTTCCTTGCTCCTCACCCCAGGAAGCACCCCTGGACCATTAAGCCTGCCCTCCCCAGGCCCCCCCAGCTCTAGCTCTGTAACCATGTGAGTGATGCTCACAGCATCAAACAAATCTTTGCATCTTTGCTGTGAGCCCTTCTAGGTTTCAAAATGCACTCCAGGCTGAGGCCGCATGAGCCGGGGTTGAGCTTGAGCTGAGGAGCTGTGGACACACAAAGGAACAGACCGATCTGCTGGCTAGGGGGCAGCTGTTTCCCAGCAGTGTTCACTGAAGAGTTAACATGTACAGCCTCAAAGTTTTCAGACCCTTAATCTAAGATGCCGATTAGGCAATTTGCAGTTTTGGAAAGAAATTGACAAGGAAGGGCTCTGCTCTCCAAGTATATGAAGCCACTGCTTCTGAGCATGTGCAGGGGTCACGGAGTGTTCCTCCCTTCCTCTCGGGGGGTGGGGAGGCAGACTGTCTGTCCCTGGAGCTTGGGCCTTCTGGGTCACCCCACCTCACAACCTTAGATATGGTCCACCCAGCCCCTGTTTGCCCATATCCTGGCCATCAGGCCTGCTAACTCTCTTCTGCGACCTGTCTCCCTTTATCCCTCCTCCCTCTCCTGCTCCCTTTGGCTTTTGTTTGGCTGAGGAAATGGAAACCTCACACAGGAAGTGCTGGGCTTCATTTGCTTGAGGTGCTGAATCTGTTTTCTCTGTGGATGCTGGAGCAAATGGCCTGTTGCCGGCTCATGCGAGCTGCTGCCCATCTTTGGGCAAGGGCTCAATCTGCAGCTGGGCATGTGGTCCAAGTTACATCCATCCCCAGCTGGGCTTCACCTCCAAGGCTACAGAAAGGCAGAGGGGGTCGGGACACTCGAATCAAATTTGCTTAGTCTTTCCAGACTTCTCTGCACAAGGATAGCAAATCTGACCAAATAATATGTTGAATCTGATTGCTTAGTAAACAAGTTCCTGTAGCTGTAACTTACTTTTTGATGAGTCCAGTTTAGGCTGGAGAAGTCAGTGTGGTAGAAAATGGAGTCCCCTTCTGCACTGCCTCCCTTTGCAATCAGGATCAGTGGCTGGTTGTCTCTGGAATGCAAGTTTAAGTATAAGGGAGGGGCTCTGCCATCCTGGGGCCTGACCACAAGGCATGGTGGTTTGAGGGCTGGTGCCACTGTTGGACAGAACAAACCTGGTCTGACCACCACTGAGGGTCATCCCACCTCATAGCCTTCAGATCCAAGCAGTGGAAAGTGGAATAAGAATTTACCTCCCTTCTTGCTAGTTTCTCATGTAACTGCCTAACACTCACCGAGTGAATACTGTGGTTGAGAGATTGGCAAGGTACGGTGGGCGGTTCTTCTGTAGGTTTCAAAGTGACATCTTATACCCACTGATCTTCCATACTGTGGAGCCTTTTCTTTTAAGGCCATAGGGAATAACATACTCCAGACAGTTCTGTAGATGTCAGAACAGTCATCCCTCTGACACTCTGAAGGTCCTTGTGCTGCTCTTCATTTTGGAGGGTTTAGGAACGCTCTCAAGAGAGTAGGAAGGAAATGGCTTCCACTTAACGCCTCTCCTTTGCATGTTTTCATTGGTCTTCGCCTGCATTTGTTCTCTGCAAAGACAGATTCCTCACTGATCCTATGATAAGGTGACCAGATAGCCTACATTGTAGTTTGCTTCTCCTCCAGAAACTCCCTACTCCCAAATTGTCTCCTTGACACATTTGGACCCTTGTGTAATCTTACTCCCTTCATTCTCTTTCTGTCTTTCATTGTGTTACCATCTCTCCTTGCACAGTTAGTCATTTCGAGGCACCTCCACTTTTTCAGGGGAATTCTAAAGCGCATCAGTAGTCTCCTTGGTTCTCTCTCCTTTGCCCATATTCCTCTTCTTTCTGGTCAAGTTTACTTTTCCTAGGCAGTAGCCACTTAGGCACATATGGACCACTTAGAATGATGATGACAGAGCTTCACTGACACTGCAGAGTGACAAGGGCAGGATTTCAGGGCTGTTTGTGCCTTCCCACAGCAGTGGCACTTAGTAGGTGTGTGTGCTGGAGTCAGCACGTAAGTACATTGACTTCCCATTTGTATCTGTTAGGAGTTGTAATAGGATGGCTTTATATCCCAGGAGATTTTTGGTACAGAGGATTGTAGCAGGGCGTGGAAAGTTGCCTTGAGCCACTGTAAAAGGCAGTGTAGAGTGCTTTGGTCTGGTTAGAACAGACCACAGTGTTTGGAGGGGCCGTCTACTTATGGGGGTGGGGGTGGAGTGGGGAGCACAGTTTCTGTGCCAGGCCTCTTGTTAGAGGGGAGGGGCAGCTACTCCCCGCTTTACCAAATGAGCCTGAGGCAAGTTGTGAACGTCAGGTGGTGGAGAGGAGCAGAGCAACAGGCTTCCTCGAGCCTAAGCATAGCCCCCTTGCACCCCAGGACCTTTGGCAAGGCTGGGGCAGTGGGACAACCTACCTCATTGCATAGTCTCTGCTGAAGCCAAATCTTCCCTCATCTTGATCTCTAGTTCTCAGTAAGTGAAAGAGTCAGGGGACTTTGAGAACATCCAAACCTAGCCCAGCTGTGGCAGTTGGTTTATTGCTTTCAGCTGGTACTTGAACCCAGGTCCTGGTCTTGGAGGCTTTCCCAGGTTT